CTGAGAATGACAAATGAACAATATAAGAGGCTTTTCAATTATACATAGCAGATAACCAAACACTGTCAATGGAAAATGTATTTAGTGAGAATAATAGGCAGGTAGGTATAAACTAGACTGAGAACAAAATGCAAGTCTTTGTTGATTTTCTGTCACACTAAACAAATGAAGCATTCAGTAAAAGCATACTGTAGACTAATTAATAGTCAGAGGAAAAAAAGCTAAAAATGCCTGAAGAAATATTTTTCTATCAATTTCTACCAAAAACCTAAAGCAAAAGCTGAATAACATTGTCTTAACAGAGAAAAACAATAGACAAAGCTGTTATATTATCTCTGTTCTTTACATGCCAAAAATTATAAGTATGTTATTTCAGACAGTAATGATTTCACACTAAACAGAATATGAAAGTATACAAATAGCATTTTAAAAAATTACCTGATTCATAAATGCATAAATGGAATGTAAGAAAAATTAGATGTCAAAAAAAAAAGTCCAAGTTAAAAAAAAGAGACGCAACAGTGGTCAATGCCTTTAGAGACCATCCAGATAAATTGTTTTTAAAAATCCATTTAGACAATGGTGGGTTTTTTTATCAGGTAGCGATACGTAATGGTCATCAGAAAAAGTAAATTAAAAGATTTCAGCACTAACAGCACTTTCAGCTGTCTATCTTTTCGGGTTTAAGTGAAATAAAGATTACATGAGCTGTCTTTGCCATTCCAGTGAATACTCCTCCACCTAATCAGTCACTACACTAGGAGGTCATATTTTAAATTGCATTATTCCACTTTCCAAAGTTGTTCCTCCCATTCAGCTTACTCTACTGTCATAGCTTCAAGAATAAAGATAAATCAGAATTTTATAGAACAAAAGGTAGTACACGTGGTCAGGTTAAGTGCAGCTACAAACCTAGGATTATAAGGTGAAACCTTCCAACATGAAACCTCTGCACAAAACGAAACAAGGAAAATAAAAGGAGTTCTTTGACCTGCTTTTTCAAAGGATTACCCTTCTCCTCCCTGCTGCTCAGTACCAACAACAGACTTAGTGCTGCTCTTGCCCTCAGTCAGTTCCACCGAGGACTCCAAGGCTCAAGCCTTTTCTGAGAGCGAGATAAGAAAGAAAAATTATAACAGTTGAAGCAATTCCTCAATCTCAAATCATCAGCTAGAGATTTCAACAAGTGGACAAATTATTTTACTGTCTTGAAAGTGTATTTTCATAATATTTATCCCTGTCATTACACTTACTCTTTTCCATATTTTTATTTGTTAACTTTAATTAATGTAAAAGGCATTGATGTTTATTCTCCTATCTAAAGAGGAAACACAGAGATATAAAACTTTATGTAGACTTTCAGATTTCTTTAGAAATTTTTTTAAGTGAGAAATAAAAAGTCAAATACAATGTTAAATGTCAAATCAAGAAACTTCTCATGTTGCATTTTATTTCTCTATGCAAATTATTTTGAAGTTTATGAGAGTTTTTTTAAATTAACTGCACCAACTAAAAATAAAATTTCTGCCCGTTAATAGCAAACTAGAAGACCTAGTCAAGAGATTATCACTTTATATGAAACTTCATTTTGTTGTCTTTAATGTGATGCATGTTTTGCAATTAAGCAATAAAACACAGCTTCCCTATCAGGCAGTGAATGATAAAAGAAACAAGCAATCCTGAGGAAGACTTCCGATCAAAACTACCTGACCTGTGCCACAGCCTGTCATTACTGATGTTTATCATAAATAAGGATAGAAAGAGGAGAGGGAAGTTCTCCTGCCTTGTAGGAGGTTCTGGAAGAGGAGAATGCTGAGTCCTAGATACTTCCTTTCTAAGGTATTTGCTTCTCCTGAACTTTGAAAGACTAGACCTGTTAAAAAATTAAATTGTATCTATTTTGAAGGCTGTATTGGTTTTAAGTTCATATAATACTGAATATCTCTAGTTTTTTACCATATTTACAGATACTTCTTAAAAAGTATAATGATCCCAATCTACATGCAAATGTTGTCATTTATCTAAGTGTAAAGCAAAATTAATGATATGTTTATTTTTTAAAGGCAATTGTGTCAATTAAACTAGCTTTCACTGAAAACTACATCAAGAGCAATTACACAGTTGGCAGTACTGCAAAAGCAAAATTAGTGAGAAAAAGCAAAAAGAAGTTAAGGAATTTAAATAAATGGGAGACAATCATGAAAATAAAGTTCTTCATACAAACAAATTTATAAACTGAAAAGCCTGTTGTTATGCACCACAATTCTTGCCTTTTGAAAGTGAAAATAATTAAATATTAATTTTGATAGTGGATAACCATGCACTTAACAAATGTACCCTCTAGGTTTTCTTTTGTTAGAATGTCCCCCAAAAGCTCCATAAAGGGGAAAAGAGGAGAAAGCAAACAGTAATTAGGAAAGAAAAAAAGGAGAATTATCCTAGACAGTCAATGACTCTTAATAAAATATATATTCCTTTTAACTGTTCTTGTTCTCATTTTTGAAGAAATTAATGTACTTTTTAAAAGATTACTAAATTTTCCTGACATGACTTTCTGATTGAAATTACTGAACATCTACAGAAAATAGTTTGGTCCCCTTGAACACAGTATTTGAGAAGTATCTGACCACTGCACTACCTCCATGAAAACCATCTCACACAGCAAAATCAATGCCAGATTTTCCTTTTAAAACCTTTCTAATCTTTCACACTGAATAGCAATATTATACCCAAAACACTTGTAACAGTACAATATAAAAATAGAAAATCCAAGTATTTAAAAATAAGTGTTAACATTTAAGTAGACCGTGAAACTGCAGTTAACCCTATGTACTGAGTCTAATACACTCCTTGACTATATTGTTGGTTTTAACAAAGTTTAACAGACAATTTCCTTTAGAAAAATTGAAGAGGGCAAAAAAAAGTTCTATTGCAAGAATTTGCATTAATACACGTGTAAGGCCACTGAAATGAAAAGCCGAGAGTGCACTCTTGTGACATTTGGGCTGATAAAATTAACTGCAGCTTCCCACGTGGGCTGACACCAGAAACCGACTGCTTATAACCTCAGAGGAAGGTAAGAGGGTCAGAAAACTAGGTTTCCATTTTAAAGAAATTCGGAGGAGACCATAGTCACATAGCCAACCTTATCTCCTCCAACCTTCTTTAACTACTCCCTCCAGTCTGCCTTGGTGAAGGGGTCATGCCACCACTACCCACTCCCCGTCAGGCTGCTGGTTCATGACTTGCCCTTTCCACACATCATTAAACAAGGGCACACCAGCTGGGAAGGCTCCAGCTCTTCTTTTCCTCTCACTCCAATACACTAGATATAACAACACAGTGCAAGAAAATAACAGCAGTAGCTTTGCTGTTACTGCAAGTATTTACTAACGAATAAATCAAGATTCCCTGGGGTGTGGCGCTGTAACCATACATTTATGCTCAACAGTGTTCAGCTGTGAGGTGCTGGGAACCAAGCACGATGTGATGGCTGGAGACAGAGGTACACCAGCAAGGCATCTTGGGCTGCTCTATCTAACCCAGATTCGTCAAAAAAAATTCTCTACTGGCATTTTAATACCAGATTTTATCATCACACTTGCTGTATTTCAGTCTGCAAGATAAAACATGCTAACATCTGAAAAAGTTGGCTGAATCCTTCTTGTTGGAGCTTTGTTAGACCATATGGCACTGCCTCAGGGATGAGTTTATCACCAGTCTACCTCCAGAAATTCCCTAAAACTTAATTTTTTTTTCGCACTACAAGTCACCAAAAAATGATGAGTATTTTTGTGCAAATACTGGATTATTAGTAATAATTTTGCAAATATTTACATATTTTTTATTTACCACACAATCACGATTAGTCTGTCTTCTGCTTAAGAAAAACCTCTTCTCTTGTTAACGTTTCCTTAAGCCATTTGTCTCTAGAAGATTATTATTTGCTTTCTGATGGTAGAGTAGCCTAACAGTTGCCTTTTATGCAAAGCTCCAAGTTTGCACAACATGCTGAGAATGGCATGAAATGAAAAAGGACCTAACAGATCTGCTCTTAAGCAAGAATCAAATGGCAGGCTAAATCCATGCTTCCTTTTTTTGCTAAAGGTCATGGCTACAGAATCTGAGACTTTGCTAAGTATTTAATATTGATAATCAACTACAGTTGATGTATTCCCTGTCTACTAGATGGAAAAAAATGTATACTGTGGAAATAGTATCTGTGTTTCTCTTGGCCTGAGGCCCCAGTTTTCACTCACACTTCTAGTCAACTTTACCAATCATGTCTCCTCCTTGAAAACCTGGACTATTTATAGAGCTTTTTACTGCTACAATTTCTAGATCTCTTTGTCTCTTCACATGTTGTGAAAATACTGTTTATTTCCTGCTGTGCTCCTGGGAAATGAAACACAGTGGGATGAAAACTTATGCAATACAACTATTAGATTGGCCATAGTCGTTTAAGCACGGAACTGGTAAAATCACTGTAAGAAGTTTGTCAAGTGATAAGGTCATTCTCTAATTACTTTGCATTTTTCATCTTTCAAACTAGAATTATCTACTGATTTAATGGATCCTTAAATAGAAACACTATATTTTATGCAGTCCGATAACAGGGATTCATTTTTTATTTATGACATGCAATTCTAGCTGTTTTTTTTTTCTAATTCATCATAGTACATCTGTTTTTACATAGTGATATTAAAAAAAAATCAAATAACTCTTAGCCTGTCTCTGACATGTCCGTTCATATTTACACACCTTTCCTTCACAAAACAGAAAACGCAAACATTAACATTAGAAAAACCACCTGACACAATAAAGCAAGAGTACCCTTGAAGCTGGCACTCAAGAGCTAGGACCATAACCAGGTACATTTGAAAGAGTTTTTTTAAATGTTGGACAATGCAAGTGAAAACAAATAGTAAAAAAATGTTCTGCACTCTTGTGACATCAGTTGTCTTGACTTTGTCCTATTCTTCCACGACCCATTTGTGTATCACAATGGCACTCAGCACGCCCAACTTCTCTAAAGAAAAGGAATTTAAAAGCAAAGATGAAACCTGTGTGCAACTCAGGACAGAAAGAGTGAGACAGTTCTTTCCTCCTTGGCAATCTGAAGGATGCTCAAAGATAATGAATATATTTTACATTTTATGAACTTTTTTTATTTTTCAGGTCCCCTCCCTTCGAATGTGTTGCTAAGCCTTTTTTTCTCTAATAATTAAGTTCCAGAGAGCCAAATGACTCACTAGAGCTGTCAAACTGCTTATTGAAGAGGGTTTGTGTTTTTACCAGTCCTTCTGCACACAGATGAATTCAATCCTTGGTTCTTGAGCCTGAATTCACCCTTTCTATAGTAGAGTTGAACTTTCCTTTGGTTCCCTCGAAGCAAACAAATTTTATCAGTTTATACAGTTAAGAATATAATTCTGCTTTTGGGCATTGCTATTTAATTGCTAATTAATAGATCCAACTGTGAATTCTTTTCCTAAGGTAACTCACTTATGCTGTTCCCTCCTATTTGTTTCAGTAGTAGGGCCTACCAGCTCTTTATAGAATATTGTTAAAGCTCAGTACATATTTTTACCTTCATGACCTGAATTACAGTTCTCTGTAATTATCACTTAAACTTATTCAGACTAATACAGTTGAACTTTTGGAGCTCTCCCTACCTCGTTAACTTTTCAGTTCAGCCACCAGTTGGGTCTTTAGTAGAGGTGTTAGATTGAAAAACAAACACAGTGACAATCATCTTAATGGGCAATGAACATCATATGACATCTCAGCTATCTACCTGACTATTTAAATACTATTTATAACACGGATTATGGTCCTTTTGTGAATAGTCTCCTTGATTTACAGACTCCTCCTGCCAAATGTTAGGAGGGGAGGTTATAAAGATCAGGAATGGCTGAAAGGGTAATCCATTTGAAGCAAAATATTTTTCCTTTGACTGGGCATATTTTGTTTTTCTTTCTTATGAATGTTTCAAGAGACAGCAGATGATTTATTTTAAAATGACCCTAATTCAAGGTTATGCCAATGAAACAAATGTCGTTCTCTTTGATTTAGATGTTCCAATCTTTCCCTTACGCAAAGACTATGCTGGTTTCATTTGCTTTATAAATAATCTTTCTCTCAGAGTTACCAGCAAACGGACTCACACATTATTTCTCTAGCAGGTAAGTGGAGGTTTACTAAATATATCTAATGTCAGAAAGCCTCCTTGCATAAATTAGTGAAAAATGCAATGTTATTTGTGAAACAAAGTGCCATATTTCTAATGTTCTCTAAAATCTTTCATCTTATGTTCTTCTTTAAAGCAAAATTTTGGCAGAGGTTTTATACCTCTTGTATGAAGCTTGAGTAAGATTTTTTACTTTACCACCTGAAGAAATTAATTTATACAGAAGGTTCTACTGAAATGTTTCTTATCTTTTGTACACTGCTTTTCCTTCTTCATCTGTTTTTTTTTCACTGCATCAGCCAGAGGCCACACATCCCTCAGATACCTTTTAACTGGTCATCAATGAGTCTTCTTCTGGATCTGGACTGGGAAATATCTAAGGAGGTCTACTGCTCTCAGGTATAGTTTTGTTGCATTCAGTCTGCTCAGGGAGACCAAATTCCGTTCTCACTTACTCAAGTGTAAACATTGAATAATTCCATTGATCTACCTGGTAGTTATAGATTTCTCAGTAGACTGTGTGCTTTGGTGCATTCTAATTGCCAATACTTGGAGATAGTTAATCCACAGCAGAGGAAGGAGTGGACAGAAGCAGTCTCTGCCTTGAAGCAGATAACCACAAGGAAAATTGGGGCACAGTAAATGCCTATAATTTACACATGTTGTTGTAGATGCCTAAATTAATATTAATCCTCCGATTTTCCTCGTTACTTTTTTCAGACCAGAAGCAGAAGCCAAATTTCACCACATGCACACACACACACGCCCATATATCCATGTAATTCTGTGGTACTTGTGCAGAAGCAGAAATACCTGTTCTACCACAGCATCGTTGCCATGGGGGCTCCATATGTTAATGCATGGAAAAGACAAGCTAGAATGACCTAATTTAGGGTCTCTTCATAAACCTCCCACTCCTCTCCAGAGGTAGCTTTGGGTGACAGCACACCATTTTCAATGAGATTGTATCATCTTCTACCTATAACAGAAGCTGTTCTAGCACTGAATGCAGACATGCAACCAGCGTAAGGTTTTATGTGGCCACTACTCCAAATGCAAGCAGATTTTTATGGGCTTGCAAAATTCAGGTTTGAGTCTTTCCACTTTTTTTTTTCTATTCATTCTCCCTCTCAGACATATGGGATGAAGATGGCTCTGAAAAAACACATCTCAAAGAGGTATTTTCTTGACCCTGCTCAGCCCACACATTTCCCAGAGAAAATAACCATCTATTAAATTCATTTTTTAATCATTGTCTTTTCACTATTTTTACTTTTTAGCATAAAGAGATATAAATTTACTTGTTCAGTAGCAAGATAAAAAGCACAATGGCACTTTTAAGTAATTCTCAGGAAAGAAGATACTTTATCTTTTATGCATGTTTTTTTCAATAACACATACCTGGGTTTACAAGATAATGTGCTTAAATGCTATAAATCCATATTCTTGTTTTCTGTCATTTAAAAATATTAAATATTATTCTAATGGTACCATCTACTTTGACTATTATTTTGTTTGCAACTACTGAGGCAAACACAGCCAGAGAAAAGATTAATGGATCCTAAAGGAAAATCTAGGAGTAGCCTTTCTTAGAGCAGAAACACAGAACTTCTTTTTCAAGAAATGGTTAATGCTTTTGTGTAAAAGAGATTTCCTTGATACTTGTTGATAACATTTCTGTGATGGCATTATTACTGGCAAACAATGATTTACTGGAAAGAGTAAGAACAGAGTGGTGGCCTCCAGAAATGTCACTTGAAGGCCTCTTTATTTTTGCAATGAACCAAAGAGCTATTTGTCCTGTATTCAAATTCAATGTAATTTTTCATTCCTTGTAGAAAGTTACAGCTATATATAGGCTTAAAATTAATTTATTTTCAAACAAATAAGAAAGAATAGTGTAATAAAAGCAGACTACAAAGTCTGGGGCACAATAACTAATATTTCAAAGAAACATGAATCATCCCATTACAATCTTAACAAAGACACATATATTTGTAACTTGTCACTAAGTCACTCCAGTGGCTTGAGACTGATCTACTAGGGTGAAGGGTGTTAGCAAAGGGTATAAGTGCATCACTTCCAAAGCTATTACTTGCATCAGGCACAGCAAGGTTTGTTTGGGTCTTTTTTTTTAGATAGAGTATGTTGTTCAAAACTGCAACAGACTAATAATTATATTTCTTAGTGTATCACAATAATTATATTTCTTAATGTATCACAACTTTACAAAGCAACGCTAGCTTTATGGAGAGCGAAAGAAAAAAACAACTCTCATGATCACTTATACTGTCCAGCAGCAAAGATGGGAAATCTTCACTGAATTTCATTCTCTTCCCTGATAGCTGTGTATTAAATGACCTGAAAAAGTTCCCCACCTCCAGGGCACAACGTGCTGTCTGTGCTGGGGAAAAGACCCCTCTGAAGTGTAACTACCGGATAAGGAAGCAAAACACCAGTCAGGAGTACATTAGTTCATTTACAACCCGCAATTTTCTACGGGTCCTGGTTTTATCTCTCTACAGATCTGTCACGTTCAATAAATTGTCTACACACTTGATATGAAAAGGATTATTTCTCTAATGACTTTGTGAGTATTCTGTGTTTATGCTTCATGACAAAACAAGTGCCTTTATATAACCTCCAACACTATATGCAGTTTTTTTAGTTCCAGGTACTTGAGATAACAGCACAGCTTACAGTCGCAGCAATTGTATGTGAAAAATCATACTGCTACAAGGAGTTAATCAGTTAGAAAACATTTCCTGACTTTTCAGCTTTAAGTTCTTTTTCTTTCTGTCTTTTTAATAGTTCTTGACATTTCATTCATAAACACCCTAAATAATTCCTTTTCCCCTCTGCTACTGCAAAGATTTTTTTTTTAGTATATTGAGAACTCAGACCATCTTTTCTTAATCATTTTTACTTTTCTTGCTTTCAGTACTTTTGCTGAAGTACCCAGGGATATGCATGTTTTTAATGAAGCTACACTCTTACCATACAGAGGAGAGTAATCCTGGCCAGTTACTTTCTACATAGCTTAGATACTTTATTTTATTTTCTATTGTTGGCATCAAAATCACGACATATTGAATATACCTAACCTTAAATGCAAATAAGGAAATCTTTCCTGATAGTGGCATTTTTCATTAATGAACACATAATTGTGTTATTTCAATGCTGATCTTAAGGGGAAAAGTAAAAGAAGTATTCATATGAAGTAAACCAAACTTTTACATTTTCTTCAGCTGTAATCTTTGCAAGACCTCCAGTCTGTCCACTATATGATTTGGTCAGAAAATTCTTACAGTTTTCAAACTTGGGAAAAACATACTATATAGAATCCTCAATCAACATATACACTCATATCTTACCTTTAGAATTTCCATAATTAGAAGTGAAATTAGAAGCCTAATTTCACTCTAGAAATGCTGTTTATAGGGAAGCCACAGTTCTAATCATATGAGTAATATTTTGCTAGCAATTAGCCTAATTGATATATGTATAGCTTTATAGCCAACAATATTTTTTTTGTAATTAGCTTGTGTATGTATACTCTTCCCTTTTTTGTCTCTGCTCTTTTCTTCATAAAGTACCGTCTCTATCAGTGTAAAGCTATTTCTAAGAAAGTAGTAGACATTGAAATCATACAGGATGTATATTCATTATTCTGATGCAGTAAATCTCCAAGATACATGGCAGAGAACACGCTTGTACAAAAAGCATTTATTTACGTCTGATGACAGTACATGAACTTGAGTTTAGGCAACAAAATGTTTAATATAATGTCCACACATGTGAGGTATCAGAATAACTGTAATCAGTCATTAACACCTGGCTAACCCTAGAACACTAGAGGGAGATCAAAGCAAAAGAATAAATTATCTAATCCATTATGGATACTAATTGCAGTTGTTCATAAAATTTCAAAATATGATATGATAAAACAACACCAGGTATCATAGTATCTTAATTTTTCCTAACAATTCTCAAACACCCTTATTTAATATTGTTTTGCCTAGACTGTAATTTTAAAGAATAAAAATTTTTTTTAAATACTTAGAAGGAAAAATATTAGATCAAAACTACAATTACTGTATTCTGTATTAAATTAGTTTTTCACATGAACAATATTTACTTTGATGAAAAGATACAGGTTCTGGCATCTGAAAAATGAAACATAAGCAAAGAGTCCAACTACCTTACTGTTCTCTGACTACATGGTACTTTTTTCTAGCATGAGTAAGAGTACAAGAGTAAGCAGGGGAAACTCAAGTTTCTGAAAGACCTTCCTTGGAAAGAGGTCTTTCTGTTACACCTAAATGCCAGTGACTGAAACTGTTCACATTCAGAAGAGGATGGAAATTAATGCTGTTGCTCTTTTGCCATTCACAGCTGCTGTTTCATTCAGTGTCTGCTGAACAAAGTTTCTGAAATATAGATTTATTTTTTTTTAGTTTTGCATGAGAGAAAATTATCAAATGGACACTTTTTTTGCCCTCTCAGTTCCTGATGAGAAACACCAATACTTTCAGCAGGATTCCCAAAGGAAATTTTGGGAAAGTTTCCTAAGAGGAAGGATCTGGTTAATCGGACTTCATAGAGGAGGAACCCTGGCATCCAAGTTTCACTAGCAAGGAACTACTCATGCTGGTGTTTGTACATAGATTGTTTATGCTGTTAGGGATGTCTGAGCTGGACAGAAATAGCATGGTCTTGGCACTGGTAGAAACATAGTTTTTGGCATAATGCTCACAAAGTTAGAGTTAGTTTACCCTGAACAAACTGGTAGGTGTGGTAGCTTGCAGGCGCTCCAGTTCAGTGTGCTGCAGCCCCTGCACCAGTCAGCCCCACCAGCATACCCCATTTTCAGGGTACACCCTGGTGTAAGGAGAAAATGTGATACATACACATAATAATTGCCATAGCTGTTTAGGGAAGAAAAGGTTTGGAAGGCTCCAGGGAGATAACAGGAGATAACCTGAAAGAAGTGCAGGTAGAAAGGGAGAGCAGGAAATTTGCCTTTCAGCACAGTGAGTTGCTCAGGTGGCTCAGAGCTTGCTGTGAAACCGTAACCTCTCATGAAGTTACCAGTCAGCTCTCCTCCAGAAAGAAAAAAAAAAAAGAATGTTCATAAATTGCTTCAAAAAGGAAGAATGTTTATACACTATTGAAAAACTGTGCTTCCACTAAATTTTAGCAACTTTCTGGGATGCTTCCTGCATTATTTGGGTCTGTTTAATAAATGATGAGAGACTTAAAATCAAGGTTATCTGAGGAAACTCTTCCCTTCAAGAGTTTAACAACTGAAGCTGAGGATGTTTCATTTATAATCTGCTACCGTTCCTCAAGCAGTAAGGTTTCTGTTCAGGTTTTTTTATACTGGCCATGTTGACGTACCTTAAGCACAGTCAATCTAGAATTCAGTGACATAGTTTAAGTACTCTGAGATAGCCAGTGACCCTCACTTTAATTATGGCCAGAAGAGCTACAGGAGGTAGAGAAGCTAACAGGACCCTTAGCAGTCTATATATCATAGAGTAATTCTTCTTACACAGTTACTTTTAACAACTGTAAAGCACTATACAATGTGCAGGACAAGGCAGAATCAGGCTCTGTGTGGTTTTTTCACTTATTTTCTTGTTCACAGCTAAGCCCAGTTGGTAGACAAAAAGAAATGCCCATTAGCAAGTGTAAGGATCCTCCTGTCCTCATAGCTCACCTGCCTATAAAAGGTCCAGTCGCCTTTATCCCCTTGAAAGCCATTGCCTGCCTACTGAAGAAAAAAGAAAAAAAGGGAAAAAAAAAAAGATGTTATTTTTTAACAGCTTCTTAAAAATTAAACCTCCATATCCTTATTTTTGAGAGGCTTGTTTTCTTCTTAAATGCCTGGTACACCTAGAAAAGCTGAAAACAAGAGAAAAGGTAATTGTCCATAGTTTTTTTTCAAATGTATCTTGATAAGAAATTGTAACATTTTGGCTTGGTTTGACTGAAAAAAATACATAGTTCCCATCCATGGAACTTTGCCTGGCATTTTCAAAGAAGGTCATCCTAAGCAGCACCAGGCAGCATAGCCAGTTCCACTAGGACCAAGTTTTAGAAGGGGAACCAGGTACCCCAATGATAGAGTTACTTTTATTTAAAACAGTGAGAGTTTATACACTGGATAGCTTTGGAGATTAAATGCTAGAGATAATGACATCAGAGGCAAGTGCTAATATATTGGAGAGTTTAGGATTGAGAAAAAGTCGTGGTATTTCAAGTGACAAATAAACACCTCTGCATATACTGAATGGATTGTGAAACATGCTATATATACTGTGTTTGATACACAAACCACTTATTCTGTTTCATTCCTAATGAATTACATTTTTCAAAACATTTATATGCATAGAACAGAGTATTATTACCTTTAATGGTTCTGGAAAGAAATCATTGCATCTACATAATCGTCTAGTTATCTCAGCTGTTTTGTGTGGTCCAAAATCTGAAGAGACTACTCTGTACCCTTTCTGGTTTTATTTACTGCCAGCTATCTAAAGAACAAGTACACCTTGGGGTCTCTCTGATAAAGGGATATATAGTTTGCTATTAAAAAACTAATAGATGCAAAAAAATACCTGGGATTTTATACAGTATTTAGGGTATATAATTTCTTTATCTTATCATTATAGCTTGCAACTGAAATTACTTTTATTACTAGTACAGCTGACTAGGTCAGTTTATTTAATATTTTGGGATTGAGGGGAAGTGTGTTGTTTATTTATTTAATGAATAAGTTTTCATCCAATTAAAAAAAAAATCAAGTGCAGACCTATTATTCCCAGACCTTTCAGATGCTAATTCATTACGTTTCTACCATAGAAAAAATTGTATTTTAGTTATCAGTAGGCACTGGGCAGACAGGAGACAGTTGTGCTTTCTGCCCAAGATTGATCCTGAGGAGTACTGGGAACTCCCAGCATCCACAGATGCATTCTCAGCTTTGTACCAGGAGAAATACCACTGCTGACTCTTAGCTGTGTAATATAAACCAGTGCAAACGTGCTTTCCAAGTGACAAGAGTGTTTTAAAGAGTCACACTGTAATCATGGTGATGAATAGCTAATTTGACTTTGATTTGTTTCCTAAGTTTGTACAATATTGTCAGTACAATTTCTGGTCCTGGCTTCCATTTTCCCAGTTTGCTGCTTTGTCTTGCTTTAGATAACTACAAACTGAATAGAAATTGTTGGTAATATTACAAATATATGCATTTTTAGTAACTTCACTGTTGCCATCAGCTCATTGCTCATTATACCTGCTCAGGAGACTGCCTCTTTCCAGATAAAAAGTATTTCTGAGTATCCAGTGTTTCTGCCCCAGGACATGATGTTAACATGAAAAACGATAGGTAGAGGTTTTTGCATTTTTTTGCTATACAGCTGCATTTGCAAATGTGTTTCAGATGTAAAGGTCTTCTGTTATCATTTGTTGCTTTTTGAGTGTTTTACATTTCTTGCTAGTCAGAAAACTTATTCCTAGACCTTAAATGAGACCTTAAATGAAATTAGGTTGATGGAAACCTAATAAAACAGTGTGCAATATG